TGAAGATCTTCACCTGGTGAACTGGTGGTGAGGGGAAGATGTGGCAGACCGGATATGTGGCCCTAGGGATATGCATCATCTCCCACTGGCCCAGTGAAGATTCCCCAGTAGCAGACTACTTTCTACGGTGGATGTCCTCTGTGCCCAGCTCATGGTTACACTAACCTTGATAATGCAAAGTATCAGAGGGGTAGCCATGTTAGTCTGAATCTGCAAAAGTGACGAGGAGTCCTGTGGCACCTTATAGATTTATTGGAGTATAAGCTTTCGTGGGCAAAGATCCACTTTGTCAGATGCATCTGACGAAGTGGGTCTTTGCCCACGAAAGCTTATACTCCAATAAATCTGTTAGTCTATAAGGTGCCACAGGACTTCTCGTCGCTCTTGATAATGCAAGTTCATTGGAGCTCAACCTGCCAAAAAGTGGTGCCAAAAATACTGCAGAGGTATGCAGCATCTATGTGGACAATCCTAGCCTTATGTGCAATGCCCTCACAGAAATCCAGAGAGACATCTCTGTGGCTTTCCTTAGGAAAGGGGAAATCAGGCCCCATGCTGGCCTCTAGATGTCTCCAAAAGGTTTGTAAGAACAGCACAGCAGAGCATCAGTTTCAACTAGCTTTGCTCTAATGAGTGTGGTTTCCAGGGATGGACATTATGCTTGCAGTATAAACACATTAATTTTACCTTGTAGGGAGAGCCTGACAATTCTCTTGTTATTGTGAGTTCTGTGTATGCATAAATATGGTCACACCTAGGGCAAAAACACTGTTCACATTGCAAAGCCACTGTTGAATCTTCAGGGTTGCATATGGAATCCAGCATAGCTCTTAGCTCCACCTGACAATCAGCTTATTGAATTACACAGGAAAAATAGAAGAAAGGGCTCACACCGGGAACTGTGTTGTTCTGCTTTGATCATGAAAGCCGATGCTGTTTTTATAATGCAGCAAAATCCCCTGAAATCGCTTTTTACTGACCTTGTCAGAGTTAGAGGCATAAAACAATCCTCCAGTTTTAGAGCAGAGATGAGCAGAGGAAGCTGTGTTTTTGTTTTGGGAAACCAATTCCTTAGAAGTTTAGAAGGTTCTATTTTATCTGACCCGCCAGCGTTTTGTAGGTCATCCATGAGCACTATATAATGAGCAATATCCCTAAAATTATTTCTCCCTTCAGTGCTGAATTTATTATCTCCACTTCTCATCCATAATCTGGGTCTATCAACAGCCAGTACATTGCTGCAAACATGCAAAAACAACCTGTAAATATAAAAGGTTTCAGATCACCTGATCCTCATATAATAATAATTATCATAATCAGTAAATCAGTTTCTTTGTAATTTATGGGTTTTAACACCCCCATAAACAAGAGCCAGAGCATGCTGAGGAGGAACACTGCAGGGTTTCAGGTTGAGGAATGAATGTCATGTCAATCAAAGTGCATTTCACTACACAAACCTAGTTTTGTTGGAATACAATCATTTGAAAGATGCGAGAAGAAAGGCTTTTTCTGTCTCTTGGCACTGTCTACTCTCCTGTCTCTACTCACTATACAGTAAGTACATTTACGGGGGAACCAGACTATCCAATGCAAATGCACTTTCCCTGAGAAAATTTGTGATGACAGTACCAGGAACGTAGTGATGTGGGGGTGGGGGGTAGTATAAAGATAGGGAATGAGAGGTAGAAATGTATAGCATGAAATAGTTTTTCATGCTGGAGAGAGTATTGTATATTTTGCTGTGATATGTAGTAAAGAGAACACAAGAGGCCACAGGTGATGCCATGAAAACAAGCCGTGCTGCTGATTTATGGCATTGTTTTCACACCAAGTGTCTCTCTTGGTCCCTCTTTCTCTCTACAGCTTTACCCTTGAGTTTGAATTGTAGATCTGATTCACTTTTCTGTATGTTGGCGACTCTTTACTTCTTAAGCAATTCATGCGCCGCACCGACTCGACGCTTTCATTCCCAACAGTCACAGTCTGTGTCTGTCCCCAGATTGTCAGAACACATAGCAGAAGTGAGAATGGAAATAGCACAATAAGAAAGAAAGAAAGAAAGAAAGAAAGAAAGAAAGAAAGAAAGAAAGAAAGAAAGAAAGAAAGAAAGAAAGAAAGAAAGAAAGAAAGAAAGAAAGAAAGAAAGAAAGAAAGAAAGAAAGAAAGGCACAGTTAGAGAATACTATCATGCAAAACCACATGGATCAGTTTAAAAGGAAATAAATTGTGAAAGTCAAACTTAAGCAAATTGCAGTGGAAATAAAATAAAAAGGATGTCTTAGAAACTTCATTACTTGTGAAAATCTAGCATCAGGGTTCCTAGGAAAGTCAAACAAAGCCAGCCTAAATGGATAGCTGTCTTATCTATTTTACATTACTTTATTCCAACAAAATATTTCCATGTATCTTTCACATTTAATTAATTTAATAGAATAAAATCAGCAAAGAGTAAAGACAGGTCAGTACAGCAAGTGATCCTAGATCATAAAAACATAAGAATAGTCATAATGGCTCCATCTAGCCCAGCATCCTGTCTTCAGACAGTGGCAATTCTAGGTGCCCCTACAGGGAATGAACAGAATTGGTAACCATCAATTGATCCATTGCCTGCTGCCCACTCCCAGCTTCTGGCAAACAGAGGCTAGGGGTACCATCCCTGCCCATCCTGCCTAGCCATTGATGGATCTATCCTCCATGAATTTATCTAGCTCTTTTTTGAAATCTGCTATGGTCTTGGCCTTCACAAGATTATCTGGCAAGCAGTTCTGCTGATTGGCTGTAGTTATGTGAAGAAAGCAGAAAGAAGAGCAGAACAACCACTGAATGACTTCTGCTATTGCTGATCAATGCACACACTGTTAGGGCTGTGTATTTACAGCACTGTCACTTGCTAACACTAGCCCATTAACAGCTCATTCCCTGCCAGAGAAGTCAGTGTATCCAAAACTGGAATTTCAGCACAAATAAAACAGCTTCAGCTGCTACCAAATCATTCTGGGAAATAAAAGACTCTAGTGGCAGCACTTCTGGCAAACATTCCTCCAGGTTGGCAACTGTATCTTACACATACCTACAGGGATAATTGAATCTTAATAGGACCCTCTATTCACATGACAACAGCATTATATCAGAAGGCAACACTGGATTCCATCCAAAACCGCCCCTCAGATAATACAGTAGCAGTTTAACTACAGCGTATTAGTTAAACAAAACTGTCCAAACACAAAGGTCTCGGTGCCATTGCCGTCAGCCTCTTTCTTGCCTTAAACATTTATGTAACCTACTATAAACTCAAACACTGGGTTAAACTTGAATTTCTCTACTATCATGATTAAGAGTGATTCTAAAATGCAGCTAAGGCCAGGTCTATACTGGAAGGTGGGCTTAAAGTACGCAACTCCAGTTACATAGATAACATAGCTGGATTCGACATAACCTTAAGCTGAGCTTGAAGCCATCTTCACAGTGAGAGGCTGATGGGAGTATCGCTTCCCTTACTCCTCACACCTGTGAGGAGTACTGGCACCAACCAGGGACACCCTCAGCATTCACAGAGCTACCAGTGCATTTTTAGCACACCATGTAGGGCAGGGCTAGTGCCTGTTTGTCTACCCATGCCAAGAAGCGAGCTTCCAGCTGTTGTGGAGACAGAGCTTTAGATACAAAGAAGGAGAATAATAGAAAGTCCCTAAAATTGTGAGAATGAATTCTGCTGTCCTAAAATTGAATATATTGCCTCTTTCCAAGTCTCTTATATAACAATGAAAATCCAGGAAAGATGGGGTTTTTTTCTTGAATACACAGGAAATGTTCGCAGATGATCATTTATGACAAAACAAGTTTCTGTTCTATTTTTAGGTTAATTATATGGGAAGAGTTGGTCCTTTTTTTTTTTTTTTTTTTGCAGGGGGCGAGTGGGGTTAAGCAATTTCAGGTCTATAGAAATCAACAACTTGAAATGTATAATATTGACAGGAGATATCAATCCCTGATCCTGATCTCCTTTTTAGCAGTGTCACTCGTGACTCCGTTTTACTCAGCGACATTATTCCTAATGTCAACCCGTTTAAACGAAGCAGACTTGTGGTCTTTCCTATACTAGCTTTTAAAAAAATCAGTTTCAAGAATAATAGTGCTACAGTGGGAGCATTAGAAAGTCTCAGGAAAGTTCTGGCCTCAGCAGGTCTAGACTAGTGGTTTTCAAACTACGGGTCACAACCCAGTACTGGGTCATGGAACGTCAGGCGTTGGGTCTCATTGCTGCAGGGTGATCAGGTGACCTGTGGGGGTGCTCAGGCAGGCTGCCAGCCGGCAACAGGCCCAACTCCTAGGTTGGGAGGGGAAGCTCTGCGCACTAGCTCTGTTCTCCCATTGGCTGGGAACCTGATGCTGGCTGCTTTTTGGGCACAGCTTGCTCTTCAGTGCCAGGGCAGACAGGAAGCCTGCCTTAGCACCCCCCGCTGCACTGCCCAGGAGCTGCTCAAGGTAAGCCCTACCTGCCCCAACCCTGATACCCCCAAAGTTGGAGCCCCCTCCAATGCCCAAAGCTCTCATCCTGAGCCCCATCTGGGAGCCCAAACTCCAATCAAATTATGTTAAGTCATGGGCATCAACAATTTTCTTTAACTGGGTCATGAGAAAAAGTTTGAAAACCACTGATCTAGAAGACACAGAGGGAAGCTTTGATGCCCTGTTTACAGTAGTGCTTCCAATTTTTCTGTCTACTAATGAAGTTGCATCCATGGTAGTATAAAAAGTGAAGATTAAAAATATCTACAGCCTTATAAATTTGGTACTTAACACATGAAGTCACAATTGCCTCAAGGAAGCTGGCTGGAGAATGAGACAGTCAGGATCAATGGCCAATCTACTGTCACCTAGTTATAAGGATATTGAACTGCAGATAGAATCTATTGCAAGTTTTCAATGTCTTTTATCAATGAATGAGTAATCACTCAGTGGAAAGGAAGATTCAGAGTGTGAATTTAAAGTAGCTGTACCTTGCTTTGTCTCTTTTGTCTTCTTCTAAGCCTCAGAAACTCCTTGTGCTGCCTTGAAACAAAGTTGACTGCGGCATATTCCAGTAATGCAGCAAACACAAAGAGAAGGCACACAGCCATCCAGATGTCAATAGCTTTTACATAGGAGACCTAAAAGAAAACAGAAACAGGAAACAGAATGCCTGGTGAATGTCTTATGTGGAATCATAGTTTTTCTTAAATGGGAGATGTTTATTATAGAAAACATCTATACCTATAAAAAATACTTTGACACAGCATGAGTTCCAACTTTGCCTCCTTTGTTTACCAGGGACCACATCATGTCTAGAACATTATAAAGCACACTTGAAACATCTAGTGACTGAACCATATACTTCAAAGTAAACAATATACTGAAAAGTAACAGTATACTGTAAAGTAAGCATATACTGAACAATATACTGCAAAGTAAACATATTTGCACTCAGTAGGTATTCACCATTGTCTAAATGACATTACATGGTCTAACTTTTCAATACTTTTATTAAACACATTTGGCCAATTCTCTATAGTGGTCCCCTATGAACATACCACCACAGCTACTATTGTTTCTTTATTATTGGTCACATTTTCACACTCCTCGCAGAGCATGCCCATTACATTTATTTTGCATATGAACAGCTTCATCCTTGTGGGTCTAATCAAAAGCTCACAGCAGTCTATGGGAGCATTTTCATTAATATTAGTGTGCTAAGGATAGCTCTATGTACTGGGGGTTTCAAGGACCCTATGTGCACAGGAATTAAATATTTAAAGAATTGTAGAATGGATAAAGGGCTTCATCCTGCATATCACTGAACAGAATGCAGAGAATTTCAGAGAATTTCTGCATTCACATGAGTCTAGACATGCTACTGCCCTCCCCCCTGACTCCCTGTGTTGAGTGGAAAACCTAGATATAGTGGTGACAGTTGCCAAGTGTCCAGTTTTAAATGGGAACAGCCCATTGAAAAGGAACCCTGGCGTTTCCAGTCAGCACTACTGGCCAGGCCATTAAAACTCTAGTTGGAGGCACAAGCAGGCTCTGTACCTGGCTCTGCACAGCTCCTAGAAGTGGCTAGAATGTCCATCCAGCTCCTAGGTATGGAGCAATCATTGGGGCTACATCTAGAGTGCAGGCTTCTTTTGGAAGAAGTTTTTTTTCAGAAGAGATCTTCTGAAAAAATGCTTCTGAAAGAGAGTGTCTATACTGCAAAGCATCGAAAAATCGATCTGCCCCAGCCCAGGACCTCTGCTTCACCCAGAATCCCTCATTTCTGACCCTACCCCTAAACCCACACCCCTAGCCAGAGCCCTCATTCCCTCCCTGTAGCCAGACAGGAACCCCCTTGTAACATCTATTTTTGCTTGCCTGGAGCATACAGGGCACACAGAGCAGAAAGCCTAGGCTGTGTGACCGTGAATGGCTGTAAACAGAGATACGCCAATTGCTGACTAAGAGGCTGCCAAGGAGTGCCCTTGACTCAAACCCATATTGATACGAACACACATCCATCTGTGGGGGGAGGAATCTCTCGCCCAGTAAAAAAATAATTCGGCATCTTAGATAAGAAAGAGGATACGGGCCCCCAGGGGTATATAGATGGGTCCAGCAGCACATTTTCTCTGAGTGTCAGTCTACCATCTATCTGCTGGTCGGGTTAGGTGTTTGATCTCCCGAGGTTCCAGAGGGGATGCCCACCTCGTATTCGTCTTTCCTAGGAATTGAGAGACCGGCCCTGGCCTGACACGCTGGAGTCGAGAGGCACAGAAAAGGGTAAAAATTGTACCTGGATGTGGTCCTTTGTTTAAGTATATATATACATAGACTTAGAGCTCTTTAAAGATTAAGCTGTCACTTGGTACCATTATTTCTATTTTCTATCTTTATTTTCTTTGTAACCATTTTTAAAATCTGTATTTGTTAGCATTTAAGAAATAGAGCAATAGCCATTGTAAGCATATGATTTATAAGTTTCTTTAATAAACCTGTAACTGTTTAAGCTTTAACCTGACTCCTTCAGTTGCTGTAACAGAACCAAGCACAATTTAAAAGAACTTCAGCCGGTCATAAAGGGACAGACATAGGGAGAGCTTGGGCGTTTGGATCTGTGTCACTCCCAGGTGACAAGATCCGTTGGGGCACCTTTCCAGCCTTTCCCAGGCTGCCCGCTGCGAAGGAACTTTGTGTTCTAGCAGTTAAAATCTAAGGTGTAATAAGCTCTTCCTATATAACGGGGCGTCTGTTGGCCTGCTGGCCACCCTCTGCGACGGGACCCCAGTCCTAGCAGTAAAGACACAGACGTTAAACCTTTTCTCAGAAGCATACACACACACACTGCCCTGACCGTCGGCTGACACTCAACTCATGCCCCAGCCTGAGGACAATGAGTCAATGAGGGAGGGAGGGTGGGAAAAGAGGGAAGGTCAGAGGGAGCGGAGATGGAATGGGTGGGGATTGGGACCTTGTAGAGGAACAGAGCAGAGGCTGGACCTTGGAGAAGGGGTGGGCTAAGGGTATTCAGTTTTCTGTAATTAGCAAGTTGGCAACCCTAGTGGAGTTAGTGGCCTGGTACAAAGTTAGGAAGCCATGCATTTAAATTAGACGTACAGCAGGCATATTTGAAGTTAGAGGCCACACATAGGTAGGAAGGTTTAGCAACAGCATTTAATCATTCTGCAAAGCCTGGTGCAAACCCCTCCACATTCCAGGTCCCCTGCAAAGCATGGGCTACAGGCTGAGACATATTAAATAAGTCATGATAATTGCTTCAAATATGTAGCTGCAGTTGGCATTCTGTTTGTAGGTGCAGCTTGTTTTCATGTAGAAATACCTGAGTAATCACATTCAGAATATACAAACACCTGGCATGTGCTGCCAGAGACATTGCATTGTGGGATCAGCCCCAAGGATCAGCATTTCTGATTGAGCACATCCTGAGCCCATGTGCATCAGGCATTGAGGGCAACACAATAAAGGAACTCCTGAATTAGCCATCCTGCCACTTACATAGTACTTCTGCACCCACACAGTTGTGGAGATAGATGAATTATTTTAACTCTATCTTGCGCCGCTGGAATCAGACACTCAGCAAAAGCAATCACAATATAATGTGGCTTTAAAAATGGAAAACTCCAACAGCAGGGGAACACCAATCCCCCTAATTTCCAAAACAATTTGCATCATTTTACCTATCTAGTCCTCCTAAGTGACAGGTAGCTAAAAGCCCCAGGAAATGCTTTTAAATCTATCTTTGGGCCTTCTTCCAAGACCCGTAATACACGGAACAATCTGTCAGTCACGCCCATTCCTTCTGCTAGTTCAAATTCTTCTGAAGGACTTGCTTCTTTTCCAGGACCACACAAACTAACTCACAGCAATCACAAGTTGATTTGGTTTGGTTTGACTTTGCTGCGTCACAATATACAGAAGAGGTTACAAGGAATCCCTTCACTACATATCTTTTTTTCTTCCTTCAGTTCTGCCCTATTCCTTGCCAAACAGAACTATTTCTCTAGCCTCCTTGACTTCCATATCCCATCTGTTTATTTTCTACATCCTGCATATGAGGTGGGAATGTTTCCTACTTGTACTGCTAGCCATCTATAGAGCACTAAGGCCCTGAGCTGGACATAGAAAACACAGAGGCTACCTTTGAAAACTTTCTACTTCTCCCCTTGGCCTCTAGATACATCATTTACCTCAGCATTTTCATCCTTTCCTGTCTTTCCTTATAGAGGAAAAATTGTACATTCTGAGGAATTATTTTCTTTCTCTCTAGTGTAATTGAAAAAGTTGGGAAGGAGGGAGTTTGGTTGGTTGATTGGTTTGTTTGTTTGGGGGTTTTTTGGGTTTTTTTTGGTTTTTTAAGAGTGACCTCTAGAAAACCTTTAAAAAATCCTAGCACATTCATTCACCCTACTCTAGACTATTTTTAGAATTTGATGTTTGGAACTATGGCCTTGTTCAGTTTTATCACATTCAAAAAGTCCATTAAGCATTTCTTGTATTTTTCTTTTTTTAACTCACTCAATTGCCATGTACCTTATGTTGCAAAGCTTCCCCTCTGGTGGCTTTTTTAGAGAGTTAATGGCTCCCTAACTATCACGCTATAAATAATATAAATTATTCAGATACTCTGTAAATGTTTTCGGATGAGTTAATGAGGAAAGTTTTTCAGAATGAGGTCTGTCTGCTCCAAGAACCAGGAATGATAAGGCTGAGTATAACAAATGTGGCAAAGCACTTCCTTTTCCTTTTTAGCATTTACACCTTTCATCTCTTCACTTAGCTGATATTTGGCCAAACCATACACTACATAAGCAAATTAATTTCTGCTCTGATTCATGCTGCCAGGACTGGGGAAATCCTGCTGAGCTGCAGGACAGTCAAGGTATGTCTACACTGAAGAGTTTTTTCAGAAAAACGGCCGTTTTTCCAAAAAAAAAATTCACTTACATCCACACTGCAATCGTGTTCTTTCGAAAAAATTTCAAAAGAACAGGGTTTTTTCCCGCTATTGATAAACCTCTTTCCACAAGGAAGAAGACTTTTTCCAAAAGAGCTCTTTTTACTGTGGACACTATTTTCTACAGTTATTTTTTCCTCAAAATGGACATTAACTGAGATCCAAAAAAACAATTTCAACTCAGCTGCTGCCAGCTATGATGCTGTCATTACATTTGCTACCTGGTTGGGCAGAATGGCTCCAGATCTCAGTATTCTTTGACCCCTGAATAGAGTGACCTTGTGCATGGCTGTTTTCAAATAATGAGGAGACAGGATAAATGAACCCCATTCTTCCATGTAAGCCAAATAATAACCACAGAATTGACAGAAGGCAATGTAGTAGTTGTGACTGATGCCAGGTGTACATGTATACATGCATATATTGTTTTTCTACTTGATAGCACAAAAATAGTGCTACTGTTCAGGTAACTACAGTACATTCTAAAACACATTTGCCATGCTGCAGTTTCTATGGCAGTCACAACTAAGCGAAACCATTAAAAGTGATCAAGTTCACTGAACCAAACAACAAGAACCTAAAATTAGAAAAAGTATGCCTAGGGCAATAAGCTTTTTAACTCTTGATATCTTCTGTTTGTGATTAGACAAAAGACTCATGTAT